CCTGCCACTATACCACTCCCCTTCCCCCATCTTGCCTAGTTTAAAGCCCTCCTTACCAGGCTAGCCAATCTGTTGGCAAAGACATGTGTGCCCCGCTTGGTAAGGTGGATCCCATCGCTCCCCATCAGCTGTTGATCTTCAAACAGGGTCCCATGGTCATAGAAACCAAAGCCCTGTTGCCAACACCAGCGGCGCAGCCAGATGATGAGAGCAGGCTGAGCAAGCACAGGGAGTTTTGCCATGTATGAGGGACCACAAGCCATAAAGCAGTGCTGACATAAAGCAAGACATAAAGCAGCGCTGGAGGAAGGCAACAGATCTACAGAAATCCAGGGGGAAAAGACACAAAACGGAAAACATGGAGCTGTTCTGGGAACTTGCCCACCTTGAGCAGGGGTATGACTGTGGCAGAGTGCAGAAATGTTCTCCAGCAAGAGATCTTTGCAACACAACAGAACTAATGACAAGTCCAGAGGAGCCTAGATGAACCAGGCAAAGGATGGGAGATGCCATACTGCCAGATACTGTAAAGGCACGTGGGGTCATGGGTGAGAGGACTGTCACATTGCTTGTGAAATCCCACAGCCACAGTCCTGTCCTCTGCTGTGCGAAGGTCAATGTTTTCTGAGTCTCTCCTTTACATCGATGTGAAGAAAAGGGAACATAAGACCCACGTGGTCACCCTGTAGCAGGAGTCCAGGCGTGGTGATGCATCAACAGCACGTACCATTGGAAGTAAAGGCAGTGCAGATGCCAGAGCACTACTCAACCCATCTCCACTGCAAGAACCCACTGCCTGTTTAATTAGAGGCCCTGGATTCTAAAAGGCGGCTCTTCTCCCATGCCACTTTCACTGTCCATGTGTAATATACATACTGCCAAAGGCAGATCTCCGACCTGGAAGTCCCCAGACCCCGAGAGGTCACATCCAGCTAGCGCTCAAGACAGAGATGAGGAAAAAAGGCATGAGCCAATTCTTCTTCATCTGAGGAGTACTTCTTTGGCTCTTCAGAACGCTTCAGGGCTACACTTCATCAAATACATGTGGGAGATGCTCCTTAACAACCCTCACTCTGAGATTTCCAGCTTAATTTCTTCTATTTCCACAGTCCTCTGGGGACCATCAGGAGATATAAAAGCCAGGGAGCCATTTGTTCTTTCCAAGCTTCATCCCCATCTGGCTTGACGCTTCTCCCAGCCAAAAGTTCAACAACATTAGGTGCCCTGTTCCTGTGTTCCTACTTGGCTACATCCACTTCAGCTATCAAGTTCACAGGGATCCTAGGATGCGTACAGAGGTAGAGTCCCTTCCTTCCAAATCTACACCCTATGCATGTTACCCTAAAGAGTTTTACTGGGGGTGAGGGGTGGGAATAGGTTTCAAACACTTACTTTTTCTCCATCTTTTTCTTTCCTGCTGCAAATCAAACCATCTGCTTGGTTTTTGCAGGCTCTTCAGACCAGTTTAGCACAATATTCACATCCACTGATGTGAATAACACTGATGTGTTGGAGAACAACAGAAACTGCCTGGAATGCAAAAAAATCAATGCATTACATCTCATTTAGCAAAGGACAGAAAGTCTGGGCTTCAGCTCCCTCTGTTGCTTTCCGCTTTTGCCCAGGGACACAAGGCCTGCTCACCAACTTTTAACACCAAGTGACACACAGTCTCTTGATCTGTAGCAACCCAAAACTGCAGTCTTCCAGATCTCCAACCTCCTAGTTTCATAGTGTTAGAGTTACTCCCCATCCGCTGTCCCTAGGACAAAGTCAGCACCCACCTCCAGGAACATGGCTTTATGCCTTCACAAGCTCTGAACATCCAGTCCACAACACTAGGTAAGACTACTGCTTAGGACTCATTTCTTAGGCTCAGGACACACTACAGAAGTATGTGGACTACTCAGAAGTTTAATGACCTGAAGAGGGGTCTGTACGGATAGCAAAGGAGAGTACAGGGGACAGATGGAAGGAAGGGTAGTAGAGACATCATGAAGAGCATGGCAATGCCTTAGCCATGCATGTATTAGGTAGGAGAGGAGGATATCTCCTAACCCTAGACATTTTACTAGATCCCTTAGACCCCAAAGCTGAGAAAGATTATTGCTATGCAGCATGACAAAGCTTCACTCTCTCTGTTTGATATACAGGCAAACAAGTTGACTGGCAGGAATATATACAGGACCAGTCAGTTTCAAGAAAATATTACAGAACATGCACTGCATGTGCTTACATACCTCATATTAAACACTGGCAAACATAGATAAGTGAGTCCATGCTATGAGGCCTGACTTGAGGTTTAGCTCAAAGGAATGTTGTTCCCCATTTCTCTCTCTCCCCAGCTATTCCGCTCTTACTGTTATTTATTCATTAGGCAGATGCTGGCAGAGCCTACCTTAGGGCAGGTCTCAGCCTCACTGTGGCAGGATGCAGGATGCCCTGGTTCTGTTACAGATTCCGTATATGGTCTCTAGCAAGTCCCCTACAATATGATGCCGCTGAATTTGTCGTAGAATAATAAAGGCTGGAAGAAACTTCTGGGGGTTATCAAGTCCAACTTCCTGCTCAAAGCAGTTCCAGCTAGATCAGGTTATTCAGGGTCTTGTCCAGTCAATGGGAGCTGAACCTTGGAAGCATCTCTCTCTGTTAGCTTGAAATAGGGGTAAAGCTGCCCCTGTCCCCACCTTCTGGCAGCCCATCACACACATTCCTTAATGCTTAGATCATTGCTCTCAAAACAAGGACTTTGACAAATAAGCTCTAGCAAGCCTCTCTGAGGTTATTTAAGACGTTTCCATCTCATATATATGATGCTTTGAGCTGCAGACCTTATTCTGTATTTTTTTAACCTTAGTAAAATAATGAAATACAGCTGGGAAAAAAAAAAATCACACCAGACTTAGTGTCTTTGTCTCATCCTAAACACTGCAAGGTCCTGATTTAAGAACATCATTTCACCTACAGATGTTTTCTGTGTGCAGTTAACTTAAAGATACACTACATCAGCATCTTCTCCTAGGTGGCCAGAAATTAGTAATTCCATATATACAAGTTCAAATAAACACAAGCAAGAATTTTTTTTAAATGCGTTTCTCACTGAACTGGGACAAAAGTGTAACATTTTTCATGACATAGAAAGGCTGAGAGTTTAGTTTTGGAAAACCTGAAAAGATGCATTATTTAACCAACTCTAACTGAAAAGAAAGAAGTGGAATAACCTTTCCTTTTCTCCCCAGCATAGTAGCTCTGCAGTTGGCCATGCTGACCTCCACCTTCCCCATGACAACTTACTCAGCAGAATTAGGAGACTACATTTTTCTTCTACCTACAAACAAAAGCCTGAGAAGAGGCAGAAGAAACAGAAGAGGAGACATGAGATGGAAAGTGAAGGCTACCTGGGTCTAGTTACATCCACCCTCTGCTACTTCACTCCTGGGGACAACGCTCTGCCCTGCGGGAACACAGGGAGGTGGTGGCAGGACAGCCACATGTCCAGTGTCCTCAGTCACACAGGATACCCTGTGTTTGCCTGAGCTAGACAGTTGCTATTGAGAGCTGCTTCAAGAAGCTGGCAGAAGTCACTGAAAGCCGTGGTGGCACCAAGTCCTCCCAGAAGGAAATCATCCTAAAGGCAGGAGCTTGACTGTTTGCAGGAGGAGCTGAGAGACTGCAGTCAGTGAGGGTTGTTGCAGAGTTCGCTGCTGTGTGGAAGCACTACCTTCCGCCCCGGCTTCCTCCCTAAACACAGAGGCATGGGCAGCAATCTTCCTTCTGAAATCTAAGAGAGCAACCAGACTGCTTCCAAAACAGTCCAGGACAATTTTAGAGCAGGGCGACAGTCTTCAGACAAGAGCCAATAGCTGTGGTGGCTCAAAAGAAACACCATCATATGCAGCTGGGCTATACAGAGACATGCTAGTTTCACATCTTCCCTTGTCTTTGTTCATGCACCCACTGCAGTCACGTGTACCTCAGGATCCTCTTCAGATGGGCTATCAGCTTTGGACAGTGCTATACACTAGTTCCTCACCTTCCCAGGGGCAGAACTTCCCCCATACAGACTCGGGTCACAAGCTCCCTGCGTAGATCATACTCCACTGTGTTTCATTCCACTGCTGTTCCTTAGGATTCCAGCAACTGGGGCTTTGCAGATCCTTTATTTTCATTGCGCAAACAGGGAATCAAAACCACCACATAAAACTTGAAGCTAGGCAGGAGGATCAGAAAATGGACTTCCTCTGCAAGACAAAGGGAAGGGTACATAACAGAGGATATAACAGAGTTTCTGTTCTCGTTACTGGTTGCTAAGATTACTGTAGCTTGAGCTCAAAATATTCATCCTGGAAGGACTACGCCAAGGCTAGCTGGTGTGGATGGGGATGTGCCCGATCCAAGCAGCTCCCAGAAGCAGTTTGTAGGCCCAAAACAAGCGTGTTTAGACCTCCATCCCCCAACTCTCATGAAGCACCACATGCTTCAGGTGGGCCAAGCCAACACCTGAGCTTGAATTTGCCTGTTAGATCTGGGAATGGTGTGCAAGAACAACCTGGACTGAAGGCTGTGGCATGGATGGAGGTGGATACACAATCATCATTCCCATGTTACACAAGTAGGGGATAAGAGAAAGAAGAATTTCCCTGCTTTGCACCCTCCAACTTCTCCCACACCATCCCAGGGCTTCACCAGCAGTAAAGCCCCAAAGTGTGCTGCTACAGACCCACAGGGCCAGTTCTGCTAGGAGAGCTGGAATCCCCTCTCCATGAATTCCTGCACTGTAGATGTCTTTCACCAAAAAATCAGTCGTTTCCTCTGGAAAAACAAAACAAACCAACAACTTATCTGGAATCGAAAAGATAAGCTGAAATATGGCATATGGCCTCAAGTGGCTGCACTGTGACGCTCGGAAACTCATGTACTCAGCAGACAAAAGGCAACGCTCAGGTGCAACATCCCATACCATCCAAGGTGGAATTTTCCAGCAGCAGCTCAAAACCAGGCTGGAAAGCAAAGAACAGGATGAAGAAGCCAAAATGAAAAAAGGAATAAAACACCAAATCCAAGGTCAACATCAAAACCAAACCAAACGTGGATCTCCAAACAGGAAGATTGAATTCATGAGGGAAAGCAGCATAAACTGAAGGAGATTCAGAATGAAATTCTCACCTCAGAACAAAACAAAACAAGTTGCGAAACAAAAGAAGAGGCAAAATGAGACTTGAGCAATGCCTGAAGAAAGTTTTGAAAAACAGGTTTTCTCACCAAAAATGTTTCAGAGCAGATTCTATGTTACAAACATATTTACTTTTGATGAAAATCAGTATTTTGTAACCCAAAAGAGAGACATGGAATTTCCCAGCCAAATAACTCTGACCCCAGACTCACGTGTGGCCTCATGCTAGGAGTCAGGCCCCCAAAGTCAGATATCAATACATTTGTAAACTGCAAGATTTCTGAACCAATCTACCGCTGTTTATTTGCTGTCTGGATTTTAAAGCTATGAACCAAGTTTTCCATTGTGTTTGGTTTTGATTTCAACATCCTATCTGGAACATGCAGCTCATGTTTTCATGCTTTTCTAAGCAAATCACAGGGGTGAGAAATTTACTTCTTTTTAAAATGAGAATATTAATAGAGATTCTTATGCAACATCTTCTTTCCAGCAGCTGAGATTTTAAGAAAAAAAAAAAATACAACATCTTGAGACTGCTGACAAGACCATAAGGCTTGGCAACCACTGCAATATGATACCAAAAAAAAAAAAAAAGGGACATACACTGCCCATTTCCCCTTCACAGTAACTCTTACATCTTTATAATGCAGTCTCTCTATCAAAATGTTTACTGCAGTGTTTACTGAACCAGTGTACTAAAATGAACTATTTGCAAATTCTTTCAAGAACTTCCATTAAAACATGACTTGGATGGCTCAGCAAGCAAATATTGATGCTGCTACTCCTGCCCCAAACAAACATCTATGCTTAGATGTGTTTGAGACACTGTTTCATGGAGAAGCAGTACTCCCAAGACCATCTCAAATCCATACGGTACCTGTGAGTGCCAGATTTTATGTTCGTATCTCCAAGTCAGCTTAAAGAAGTGGACATGGAGCCCCTTAATGATTTCATTGACAGCTTAGAAGAGTCCTGTGCTGTGTTTATTTGGGCAAGTACACGGAACATCTAAGCAACAGTGTTGGAACGTGTAAATAAATGATGACGCGAGTTCTTCTGCTTTAGAAGGGCCCTGGCTCTTTCTCGCTCACAGATATTCATACACAGATGCACGCTAGTATATGCTGATCTTCTGATATGTACCTTCTCAGACCCTCCTACCTTTTGAAATGTTTCCCCTAACCTGTACTGTGTTTACAATTGCATATGTCTTGCTGTTTTGAAATACCTTTACAGGGCAGAAAGCCTTCCAGGATGCATATCTCTACCCCAGGGTTTGCTGCTGCGATGCAGCTGTGTTGCAAAAGCAGCATTTCTCCAGACTGTGAAGCCATTTTGATGATCACTAAAGATATATATTCTTTAAATATAAGTTTCTAGTACAAGTCGGGAGAGCAAAAATAATTTAGTGAAAAGGCAAACTATTTCAGCTTAAATGGAACTCACTTGGTTCGCAGCTGCTGCAGCACTAGAGCCAGTTCTCATTTATGCTCAAGATCCTTTACACTGCTCATGGGAAAGAAAGGACCTTTAACAGGTCACCTGTGTAATTCATACCCCCTTTTAAAATCCTCGCATGCTGGAGTGAGAATCAGGCTCTGCACCCAGAGCAAGGAGCTCTTAGCATGAGGGAGTGTTTTGCTGATCGGATCTCCAGCTCTGAAACAGCAGTCCAGTTCTGCCCATTTATTTCTTGGTGAGGCAGAACTTGCCGCGTAGGTCAGAAAGCGCAAGCAGAGCTACTGGTTTGTCTCTGCAATTCTACCTAACTCAGCACTCCCAAGAATGAAACCAGCCCCCCACCCAGAGCCTCTCGCAAACTACCTCAAGCTGATATAGTCCCTTGTTGTGAACAAGGATTTACATCACTGATCTGTACTTAGTACTGCAACAAGCTCCCATTTCTGGCTTAGGGCGATCTTGTTTGCTGTAAGGCTGCTGCCCACCTCAGCTAGAGTTGGTGGTGACTACAGAAAAAACAGCGTTGCAGAACAGGTCTCCCCTGGCTAGGCTAGGGCTAGACCAGTGGTCTAGTGCCTGGACCACTAATTCCAACCAGGGTCAGAAGGAAGCTGCATCGGCCAGAAACGCGACAGAGCTGTGTCCTTGGTTTCCCAGGGTAAAATCATTCTCCTGGTAACCACCTGGATTTTGAAGGGCTTCCTTTCATTCTTTTCTGCCCTCCTCCTCGCTGGTACTATGCTACTCAGATTCGAACAGACACCGCACACAACTTCTTTGGATCCGTCATGAGAAAGGCCCTGGGCCCAAGAAGAGGAGACTTGATAGGCAGGTTTCTGGAGGCATGCTTCTGCCTCCCACCTTCTGCCTTCCCTCTCGCTATGCTGCAGAAGCCTTTGCTAAGGAGGTCCTTTCCTCTGAGAGACCAGCTGAGGACATGGACGGAAGTTACACCATTCTTGGTGGCTGTTGCTATTTAAGAACCTCCAAGAAAGGACATTAATTTCTTTCCCAAGTAACCTATTCCACTGGTTTCCTATCCTCATCCTTGAAAACTTTTCTAATCCCAAAACAGACGTCCTAAGACTAACACAGCTTGTCCTCAGCATGAACTCAAAGAATAAAACTCCCCACAACACCGAGCTGCTCCAGGAAGCAGGGAGCCTGATGACTCTGCACTATCTTTTCCGAGAAAGTGCACTGGCTTTGAACAGGATTCCCTCTTGGCCACAGATACAACCAAATGTAGCCCTCACTCACCTCCAGCCAACAAGGTGAGGAGGGGAAGGAGCCAGCCTTTGGGGCACAGTTACACAGCTGGCATCCGCTGGTCTGTGGCTCTACAGGTGTCTTTAAATATCAGGCAACTGCTACTTTTTGACCTATGGACCTTAGGAACTGCTGGGAAATAGTTCCTTTGCTGAAGTGGCTCTAAACAGCAAAAGAGACTAAATCTGATGAGATGTGACTATTTGGACTTCTAGTGACTTATGCTCCCCAACCTTCAGTTCCTTGGGATTTCTGTCAGGCATGACATGGGGCACCTCAGAAAAGAGGGAAAGCCTGGCTAGCTCTCAGATGTCCCCTGTTTAACTGCAGCAAGGCAGAGTTTGCAGCACAACACATTTCGGTTAAAAACAGCCCGTTATGCCCAGCTGTCTAAACAAAGGTGGAATAAATTCACAGCAGTCACAAGAAAGGGCCATTCAACCTCTGCTGGAGCAGGGAGTTATTGCTATTAGCCTGCAGGTTCATCTCCCCCAAGATGCCACACAGGTAGCAAGAAAGGGAAGGCAGCTGCTCCTTGGCTGATGTCTCACAGGCTGCAGGTGAGCCAGGGCTTCCCCAGGCTCTCAGTGGGGGTAAGGGGAGGGAGGAGAGAGGCACAAGGAAGGTAAAACAGCTAGCTGACAAAACACTGGCCCATAAAGAAGGGAGCACAGTTACTTTCCAGATGCATTGTAGCATTCATACTGATCATCCAGGACTAATGTTTCAATTATCATTTTCACATATAAGCCATTTAATGAACTAAACCAATTGTCCACGTTTTCCTCCAACTGTGGAAGACCGGTCTCCTCTACAAAGCAGAGACAGGGAGAAAGGAATATGCATGGATGAAATTGCTGAGTAAGAGTTGGGACAGGAGCCAGACATTGGTAGGGAGGAGAGCAGATGAAAAAGGTTAGAATTAGGATGCCCAAGGGAGTTAACGC